GTGAAATATATGAGTCTAAACACCTAAACTCAAACCCTATGTGGGTTAAGCTAAAAAAGATCCACACCTAGACACACATTAATCAGACTGTCAACACGAAAGACTCATGAAAGTAAGAGAAAAGTAACTTCTCACATACAAAGGATTCCAATGAGTCCAACGTCTAGTTTCTCATAAACCACGCAGGACAGAACCTCGTATAAAGGGCACATTCAAGATTCTGAAATTAAAGAATTCCTAAAGAATTCCTTGTCCAAAAAAAACTATCTTTAAAATGAAGGAGAAATTAAGACAATCTTAGATAAATACAGAATATATATTGTTATAAGACCACTCCTATAAAAAAGCAAGAAAGGAAAAGTATAGGATAGTACAGAAGAGATAGCTCTTTCTTTTCTTGTATGATGTAAAGGAAAACTACATAAAGCAATAATTACATTGGGACCCCAATAATTAAAGATGTAGTATGTGACAAAAACAATATAGAGCAGGCAGAAAAGATGGAGATATATAAAAGCAAGGTTTCTATATAGTATTGTATTTAAGTTAGTATTACTGTAAACTAGAGTACTACATGTTATAATATTCATTGTTATATGCAGGTAAATCTCTAAGAAAATACAAACATTTTTTAACACAAAAGAAGGAAAATATTGTAAAATGCTTAACAGACTATGCATCCACTAGGAGTTCACGAAAGAGGAAGAAAGGATGATCAAGGACATAACATCAGACATTTCCCTAGCAACTTTCTTTTTCTGGAAGTATCTAACAAGCAAATAATTAGAACAAGTACAGTTCACTCTGGTACATGATAACTAGATACACAATACACAGTATCTTTTCAATGTTTAAAAGAACAGTTTCAGAATCATGAAGCAAGAGATATTTTAAAGTAAAAAAAGAAAACCAAAAGCCACATAAAGATTTTTTAAAACCAGATTTTACAAAATAAAAAGCATTCCTACGTTAAGAAAATTCCACTTTATTATAAGTTAAAAGACAATGGATTTGAATTAGCAACCTAGAAAATATTGCTATATTAAGAAATCCCAGAAATAAATGAAACCCATCTTCAGACAAAGCTACTAACACACAATTCACATAAGAAATAGGATACAAAATCTTATTATTTAGTTTACTTCCATCACATCTATTTTTGTTCCCCCTTTCCGTTTTCTGAATTCTTTTAATTAGGTGTTTTTGTAACTTTATTTTACATCCAACTCATAGGAGGTGGCAGGCTTCTCATTGTCCTCCTTGTCTGATGGGCTGATGTCTCGTTATTGATTTCTTAGCCAACTGTTTTGTTTTGGTGGTTACTCTAAGGTTTACAAGTATGGAGTGATCAAAATATATGGTGAATATTTAAATTTTTAAAATCTATTAAAAGGACACATTACCATTAAACTCCTTCAAAATAGTCTCCTTCACTTCAAACACATTCAATCCATCTTTCTTGCCCCTTTTTTGAAGTAGTTCTGAAAGTACTCTTTCATGTGTATTTTTACTAACTGCGATAAATATACAGTGAATCCTGTTGCCCGGCGCCATCCAATCGAAAGGCAGGCTCACAAAGACGCGTCCTCTTCGATCTTAATTCACCAGATCCGGAATTGTGCAGCTTCAGGCTCTTCCCAAAGGCAAAATGCCCATTGAAAGGCAAGTGTTTTAAATCAATTAAGGACATCAAGGCAGCCACAATCATGCAACTAAAGACATTCATGAAAAAGGACTCCCAGGACAGCTCCAGAAAGAGGCAAGAATGACAAGATAAGTGTGCTGGAATTTAGGAGGAAGAATTAATGGCGACGTGTCACGGGGATTAACGGCAATATGTCCTTTACTGTAATCATCTTTTTATTTAAACAAACATTCACCATATTTTCCAGTCACACCGCATACACATTTGAATGTGTCCCAATTTACATCAAGAGATACTACAATTTTTCATGTGTGGTTTAATAATTTTACAACGCATACTTCTATTCCAACTTTGCATTATGCTTTTCATACAGCATACTTATACAAATGTTACGAATGTCATGATATATTGGTATGTTTTTCCTCTTGTTTCTTTATGTTGCTTTTTCTTTATGTATTGAGTTTCTTATGCCTACGGAATTACAGGTTTTATTCAATTTTGGAAAAACATCTATTATTTCTTTAAATATTTTTTCTGTCCAACCCTACGCACATATATTAGGCTTTTTCAAATTGTTCCATACAGATCTGTGGTGTTCTATTCATATTTTTTAAAAAGCATTCTTTCCCTGTGTGCTTCATCTGGGATAATTTCAATTGCAGCATCTTTGAATTCACTAACCTTCACTGTGACCTAACCTGCCTTACCCCTCACCCAGTGGGTTGTTTTTCTCCCTTACATTGTAGTTTTCATCACTGAAATTTCAGCCGGGTTTTTTACATCTCCATGTGTCTACTTAACTTCTGAAACATACAGAATATTATTTTATATTTTATTTAATCTTCTTGTCCAATATGTGTGTCTGTTTTTTATCAGTTTCAGTGAGTTCATTTTTCGCCAGATTTAGGGTCATATTTTCTTCATAGGAATCTTTGATTAGATACCAGATACCGTAACCATTACCTACTTGGTGCTGGATACTTTTTCATTCCTATGAATATGCTTGGACTTTGTTCCAACACATTGTTAAATCACCAGGAAACCAACTGGTTCTTTCAGATTTTTGCAAAGGAGACAACAGTTTTGCTAGGCTGCTTTCACTCCAGGGCTAATTATTCCCCAACATTGAGAGAGGATTCCAGTGACACTCTGTTGAGTGCCCTAGGGTATCACGGGTCTTCTGGTGTGCAAGGTGGGAAAACCTTGGTATATAGCTCAATGACACAGAACCTGCCTGGCAAGCACAAGGTCCTGCATTCGATCCCCATTACTCTCCCCCTAAAACAGTGAAGTTGAAATGCCAGCCTTTCTTGGTATCCTGTAAACAAAGGAGTCCAAAGGCTTAGGGAGCCTGGAGCAATGTTCAAGTGTGTTTATCGTGTAAGGTCTCATCTATCCCAGGAAGATTGAGAACACGCCTTTCATTATAGCTACCAGAAATAAATTTATGAGGGTCCCAGAAGTTCCTGAAGACCTCTATGGTGACTCCTCTCAGTAAGCTGGTGAGGAGATTTCTGTGCACTGAGCACTCACTGAGTGTGATGGGATCTCAGGGTGCAGGGGCCAAGTGGGGGTGCTCAGTCACCAAGGGCCATGTGGATGTGTCTGCAGAGCCAAAGACACGATCGAACAGACTGTCTCAGAAGATTGTATTGTAGGCCACAAGGGGCTCTGGGTGTCCAAGTCAACTCTTGCACACACCTACCTTTTCAGGCTGCTAAGATGTAGTGACCAAAGTAAACCAGAAAGTCAAATTCCTCAAACATTGAAGTATATGCAAACAATAGTAAAAACACTACTAGATTTATATGGTACTCAAATTCCTATAGATCAGTTCTTTTAAAAAGTAGATATATTGTTTTTTAAAAACTGTACTAAAGGAACTATAATTTGTTATTTTTTTTAAATCTAAATTTTTAATCTCATAATTATTCATCTCTCAGTAGCATATGAGATTGCATATAATCTAGTAGATAGCTGATAACTTGTTTCCTGAAGTTTTATTCAATCATACTACCTGAAATGATTTGGAAGACTTTCCATTATGGATAGCTAAGCCAGCAAAGGTTCTTTATTGACTCTTTTGAAAAATCGTTTCACTAGAGGTATACAATCTGATTCCCAGTTTGGTGTCCAGGATAGCACAGAATTCTTTGTATTCAGTGCAGGGAAGACCATTCCTTCAATCAGAAGAGACAAATAGCACATACAAAAACACTACCACAGTGCACAGAAATACACACTCTTTATGGACACAGCTGTCTTGCTTTCAGCATCTAAAAAGCATCAGCTATTGATCTACAAGCTGGGGCTGTTCCAAAATAATTTAACCATCAGCAGGTTAGGATGTGGGAGTCTATGGATGAGTAAAATGGACCAGATGTTGCTGTTTGTTAAGGACGGATGAAGTGTACACAGAGGCTCACTACACTGGTTCCTCTACTTTTGATTGTATTTGAATATTTCTACAAAATAGTCATTAAAAGGAAATTTCTTGTGCGAGCTACAATAGAAAGAAGTACAACTGAATTCAACGCCGCCCTCTTTCCCCAGCATCTTTGCAGGATGTCATGGTTGTTCTCATGGAGGAGGCGCCTTCCACAACAGATTTGCTTTTTTTTCTCTTTCCATTAACATTTAGCACATGTCATTATATCCCAAGTCCAACTACTTACAAACAAGGTTGTAAATAATTGATTAATACAAAAGGAAAAAACTACCATGCTGTTGTTTTCATTATCCATCAAGACCCGGAGAATCTCTTCCTCTAATCCTGACACACACATCAATAGATTAATGCATACAATGAGAAGGACAGGCACACAAATCAATAGACCCAGCTCTGTTTGTGAGACTTTGAGAGACAAAAGCCATCATCTGTCTCCATCTTGCATGTGGTCCCTACCTTAGCACTGCGCCCAGAAATTCTTCTATTCCAGAACATCTTTAGCATACCCTTACAGAACCCTCGTCTCCAAAGCGTGTGGATGGCAAGTATTTCTCAAACTCAGACACACCATGTGCTTTTCATGTGGTCTCATGTAAGCATGAAAATGCCTGCACCCACACTCTGAAAATGTTTGCTCACAGTACATCCTCAAGGGAGGACATCAAAAACCAAAAAGGAAGGGATGTGATATGAACACCCTAGGGGAACACTGAGGGAAAACTCAGAAGTGCAACCTGGAGGATTCACCGTGGTTCCTAAGACCCCACCAGCAGGCAGTGGCTATCAGGTCTGCATCCCACTTCCTGGCAAGAAACTGGAATTCAATTCACCACGGCTTCTGCCATGCTCGCTTCTCCACAGGCAGAGCCCCAGTCAGGGTCACCTTGAGATCCAGGTGTCACTTACCACGAGGGAGAGAGGCCTCTTCCATGAGACGACACCGATGAGTCCTGACAGCAGCACCTGGAATGACAGGTGGTACACAAAGGTGAGACACTCTAGAAACCAGGAGCATCATTGCTGGGAGCCCCTGAGCTAGTGACAGAGCCACGAATACTGAGCACCCAAGGAATGCCCGAGGGCCAGAGCCCCCCAGGAGAACAGGTGCTCCAGCCCTGAGAACACAGTGGGTAAGAGGTGAACTAGTTGTTAGGCAAAGAGCTTTCACCTGACATCAGCTTTCTAAGTGTATAAATAAACACACTGCAGTGGTTGAGCAGTTCCTTTCCTCTTGTGTTGGGAGCCGCCGACACCGGTCGCCTTACTTGGCGGACGTAGGGCCTGTGGGTGGGAGCGGAGCCTGAGCTAGATTGCCCCTCCCATCGAGTGAGCCAAGTTGGCGCCTGCTTCCTGCCCCCTGATTGCCCTGGCGACGTAAGCAGCCCGCGCAATAGAATAGTCTGCCTAGCAACAACTGATGTTAGCCAATCAGCCCGCATCGCGCACTTTGAACTGATTGGCCACTGTTACCCTATAAAAGTAAATGCCTCTCCCGCCACGAGGGAGAAGCACAGAGAGGAAGCACAGAGAGAGATAGAGAAAGTCCACCGGCGAGAAAGGGCTGGTGGCAGAGAGGAGGCCTCGCGGGGCCCACGCGGAGACAAATAAAGGCAAGGTTGCACACCGCCAGACTTTGTCGTGTGTCTTTCCTGCCGGCCGGGAGCGACCTCGACACTCTTGTCCAGAGAGAGGACACCACCTGACCTCAGCTTTCTATGTCTCTTTATTTCTTCATCCTCTCACCATCCTCCCCCCATGGAAATTTTAATAGCTGCACAGGATGTGGCTTGTCACATCAACCTCAACCCTTTCCACCTGGTGAAGGGCATGTAGGATCTCATACAACACACAAGCAGGTGACATGATCTGCGTTTCCCATCTAGATGTTCACGGCCTGCAGCTGTACCAGGAGGCACAACTGGCTTCTCAAGCCATCAGGGCATAACAAACTCCATTGCTTCACATCCCAAAAGACCCTAAGCCTCTATGTTATTTTGACATGCTCTTTAAAGTCACAGAGAGGGCTGAAAACACTACATGGAGGATGAGCAAAGCTGACCTCACTCCTCAGCCACCTGGCCACAGCCTCCTCTCTCTAGTCCCTTCCTTTTTCAGCTAATCCCCCACCTTACTAATAAGCAGTGTCTTCTTACAAGGTTCTAGAACTTTCCATACTTTGACTGTGAGCAGCACACCCTTTCACAGGGCCAATCTGTGCCCTTGCCTTGGCCAGGTCCTCCCAGCAGTCATCTTCCCCTCTCAGTTCCTCCTGTTGTCCTTATTACATCATCCACTATGGGACCCACTCCTCCAGAATCCTTCAGGGTCACTTTCTTGATGTTCTTCCTACCATCTGGATGCTCTTAAGCTCAGCCTCCCTCTAACTTCCTCCTCCCTTTGCCCAGATCAAGATCCTGGTCTCCTCTCGTTTGTCTCCTCTCTCCATGGCTCCCTAAGAGACTTAGCTATCATGAAACTCCTGGAACTCCATCCTCTGGTGTCACCTGCAGCCCAGAGCTCATCCCTAACTGCTACGCATTACACTGTCTGCCCAGCTCTGCTCCTGCTGCCTGCCACTCTCCATCCATCACGCCCAGAAGTGCATCTCCTGCTTCCACTCCCAGACCCAGTGTTCCTCTTGTAATCTCAGCCTTCCTCCCTCCTGGTCACTCAAACCCAAATCCTCTCCCTCACCCCTGACATCCAGCCAGATCCCAGGAGGGACAGAAGCCAAGGCTTGATATTCAACAGGGCAATGCATACAGAGGATCCGTTGTAAGATGTTTGGATCCTCCTGGGAAGAACTGCTCATACCTGCAGGGGCCAGGCAGTCAGGGACCTACTGGAAGATGTTAGCTGCATTTCCCCTGGATTAAAAGGGACTGACAAGACCCAGCGTGCTACTGAACTGAAAGTCTCAGAAGGTCACAGATTACAGTTCTCATATCCATCAGGTTCTACACAATACTTAGGAATTCTCCAAGAAGTGCTGACAGTTATGTACAACCAGTTCCTATGTTTCCAGACTAGCCAATGTCTTAGGGACATTGCCCAGTTTCCCTTTCTTTGTATTCTAGCTCCAATTCTAGGGAAATCCTTGACTCATACTTCCTACATCTTTCCATAGCTGTCTCCTAATTCTTCTTCAAAGCAGCACTAGTATCTCTGGGTTTGGACATGTAACGCATGAACATTTAAGACAGCCTCTCTGGGGTCAGATTCATCACCCTCAGCAGAGACACCATGCCCTTCAAATCATTTTGCAATCAAGTTACGAAGCAATTTCTCAGGTGGGTGTCTTGCTACAATGCTCCCCAGTATCTCCTGCTTAACAACTAAGATTCCAAGTTCATTTCTCCATCTCCAAATCTTCTTCTTTTGGCAAACTAGAAAATTGTGCCAAGAGTAGCATCATTTTCTGAGCTCACTGTGTTGTCCCTGTCAGTTATAAAGCAGGACTAGTTCTTCTGGGGGTCACTGTTTGGGGCCCCTCTTTCCCCTCTGCCAGACAGTCTTATTCTTGCCTAGGCTACAGTACTTGTCACTCAACTCTGACCTCAGGATGAACTGCCCTTCTGAAAGGCCTTCCCCTGTCTTTCCCACCTTGCCATGCATATGTGCCATGATAGCATCCAGAGAGAGGTGCCTGCAAGCCAGAAGAGAGCCTTCACCTGGCTCATCGTGCATGAACGTTGACCTTGGACCTTGCAATATCCAGAGTGGTGAGATAAAATACCCTGTCCGTTAAGCCTGCCATCTACAGCACTCTGTTAGGACAGCCTGTTGTGGCTTATATCCAGGTGTCCCCCAGAGGCTCATGCACTCATGAGCAGAGCTCTGGGGAGAGGATTGGACCGTGTAGGATCTAGCTGACTTGCTGTGCGCAGATTGGCCTGGATCTGATCAGGGAGCTGAGTCACTGATCTACCTCCCTCCCAGATACCCCTTTTTCCTCTGTCTCCTGGATGCTATGACCTGAGTAGTTTTCCTCCATCTATGCCCATCCACCATGATGCTTTGGTGTTTGAGTCTACTGATCGTGGACTGGGATATCTGAACTGTAAGCCAAAGTAAACTTCTGCTCCTGTAACTTGTGGGTGTCTGGTATTTTTGCCTCAGCCATGAGGAAAACGTCTAAGCCATAGTCCAAGACAACTAATTCATTAAGTTCATCAGCTATCAGAATAACAAAATATCCATAACAATTAACTCATAAAGAGAAAAGCTTTATTTAGAATCACAGGTTTGAAGGTTCTTGCCAACAATTGGTTGGCTTTGTTTCTCTGGTTCTGGGTCCAAAACACAAGGCAGAACCAGGATATTCATGTAATGCCCAGAAAACAAAAGACAAGAAAGGGCCAGGGTCTCACAATTCCTGTAAAGGACCCATTTCCAATGACGTAAGGACCTCCCACAAGGCGTTACCTCCCAAAAATTAACAAACTGGAGACTAAGCCTTTAACACAAGGACCTTTAAGGGACATTCAAGACCCCAAACATAGCACAATATTAGATCACTGTCCTATAATATCCACTCTTTCTCTCTTCATACACCCCAGAAAGAACAGAACTCCCTGCCTCTCCAACACAAAATTCTGGCATCAGCTTTAAAGATAGAAGACCTCACCACAACACCTTGGAGGTACCTTTTCACAGCCCAGGTGCTGGGTGCTTCCCTTCTCAGGATGTCTGCTCTGGTCCACTTGAAACCAGAGACTAGGAAAGAGGAATACATCCCTCAGAGCCATAGTAGGAAAAAGTTTAAAGCCATTGCTCTGAAACTATTAGGCTTAGCTTGAACTATGTTTGCCCAGTTCCAGCTACCCGTGAGGAGTCTATTGCATATTCTGACACTTCAATAATTCTGCAGGTTTATTTGGTACCACTCCTGTGGGAAAAAAGGGTCGTGAATCTAGTTAGCTGCAAAATTACTATCGTGAAATCTTTGTCCCATTTAATTTACCAGTTTTGTTATTCAAAGCCCACAGTTTAGAAAGAACACAAGGAAACTGAAAGGGCCATAATAGAGTACCATGTAATTAAACAGTGTGAAAGAAAAGCCACAGAAAACAGGAAAGGCATGAGGTTGCCCAGAGGAGGCTTCACTTTTCAAGCACCCCGAGCTGTTATAAAGACACAAACGCTTTCTTTGCTCCACTTCCCAGTCCAGCCCGGTAGAGGCAAGAGACGAAATTAGAAATGAGACAGGACTTCTGCTGTCAAGGGTGATGAAAGAGGGTAACAGTCTACCGGGAAGTAATGGTCTCGTTAGAGCCAAAAATCTTTCCCACTTGATTACTGCCACTGCCTGGACACAGAGGCTTGGAATAAATTAGCCTTTTAAAGTCTTGGTCTATAACACTGAAACTTCTTTCTCTATCTAAAATTAAGAATTTTCTTCAGGTCATTGAATCTTGTTCAAAAGCAAATGGCAAGGCAACATTTTCGGTAATGAAGCAAGTCCTTCCAGAATGCAGACTAGAAAGTCAATGAAATCACAGTCATGTGGCACATGGTACGTGTGCCCGATGGTTCCCGTGATGCCAGTGTAGCACGAGATGTCACCGTTTGTGTCTGGAGAAACACCTGCTGCGGTAATGGAGTGAGTAACATTCTGAGCTGCCGGGATTGAAGGAGTCTACTGAGCCCCGTCCTCCACCGTCTTTCAACTGCAGATCTCTCTGTGCACTGCACATTCTTCCTTCAGCCTCATGGAGCCTTTCTTAGCCTTTCTATGTTCCTGCCATTTTCTTCTTTCTGTGGGCCTTTGTTTTATGCATTACGCCTCCAAAGAAAGTCAACTCTCAACTACTCCCATTGTTAAAAAAAAAGATCTCTAGTCTTCCTTCTTTCCTTGAGCAGTAATAAAACCATTACACTGATGCCAACGATGAAAGAAAAAAGAGCAGTTAATATTAAAGTGTTTAAAAATATTCAGGGCTGTGGGTAGGGCTCAGTAGATC